AAAAGGACATGTGTAAGTGCATATTACTGTGGTTGGTAATTGTGTCCACCCAAATTTATAACTGTGGTCATCTGACATTCTTTGATGAACAACGTAAGTCTTGACAAGATTGGCACAAACTGTGATGGGTCAACACCACATGCACAGTAACCTAAAAGAACCAACATCTCAATATATTTTATCTTTCACAAATGCAGCTGTACAAAAAGGACATGTCTTCATTTACTGAGAAAGTTTTAGCATTTTTTTGTACACATACAGTGCTTGCACACAAAGTCAATGTTGTTATAGTGCACTTTTTTTGTAGGCAAATTTGCAAAAAAAATGCATAAAATGAATTATAACTCTCTGGAAGTCTCTATACAACTTGTACTTCCAGTATACCGTAGTAAAATATTTTTTAAAATGCTGATCATTTAAAATAGTTGAAAAAGACAAAAAAAAAAAAAAGAAGAAAAGAAGAAAAAAACACAAAACCTTTTCACATGCCTGTTGGCCATCCATATGTGTTCTTTTAAGAAATATCAATTCAGGTCCTCTGTACATTTTTTAATCAGGTCATTTCTTTTTGGCTATTGATTTTGGTTTCTTATATATTCTGGATATTAGCACCTTTACAGATACATGGTTTGCAAGTATTTTCTATCAATCCATAGATTGCCTGTTCACTCTGTTGATTGTTTTTATACTGTGCACAAGATTTTTAGTTTGATGCAATCCCACTTGTCTAGTTTTGCTTTTGGGTTCATAGCCGAGAAATTATTGTGAAGACCAGTATCAAGAAGCATATTCCCTATGCATTCTTTTCATAGTTTTACAGTTTCTGGTCTTACATTTAAGTCTTTAAGTCATTTTGAATTGATTTTTGTATGTGGTGTGGGATAAAGGTCTAATTACATTCTTCTGCATGTGGGTATTCAGAGACTATCCTATCCTCATTGTGTATTCTTTCCCATGTCAAAGATCAGTTGACTGTAGATATATGGATTTATTTCTGGATTTTCAATTCTGCTCCATTGGCTTTTAGGACTTTTTTTATGCCAGTACCATGTTGGTTTAATTGCTGTGGCTTTGTAATATTTTGAAGTCAGGAAATGTGATGCCTCCATCTTTGTTCATCTTGCATAAGATTGTTTTGGCTATTCAAGGTCTTTGTGGTTCCATATGAATGTTATTATTATTTCTGTAAAGAATGTTATTGGGATTTGATAGAAATTGAATTGAGTCTGTAGATCTCTTTGGGTAATATGGACATTTAAACAATACTGAGTTTTCCAATCCATGAACACAGGATGTCTTTCTATATCTTCTTTGTTTTTTACAGGTCTTTTTTTCTGTGTTTTCTGTAAATTGCTTTATCAATGTTTTATAATTTTCAGTGTACAGGTCTTTCACCTCTTTGATAAGTTTACTCCTTAGTATGTTATTATTTTTGTTGCTATTATAAATGGGATTGTTTTCTCCATTTCCTTTTTTGGATAGTTCATTGTTTATATATAGAAATGTTACTGATTATTGTATGTTCCCTTTTTTATCCTGCAACTTTATTGAATTCATTTATTAGTTCTAAGAGATTTTTGTGGATTATCTAGGAATGTCTACATATATGTCATTTGCAAGAAGAGATAATTTTCTTCTTTTCCAATTTGGATGCCTTTTATTTATTTTTTCTTACTTAATTGTTCTGGCTAAGACTTGCAGTACGATGATGAAAAGAAGTGGTAGAAAGGGACACCCTTGTGTCTTAGAGGCAAAGTTTTCCATTTTCTTTCATTGATTATGGTATTGGCTGTGGGTTTTTGATACGATGGTCTTTATTGTGTAAAGTAAATTGAAGTAAATTCTTTTTACACCTGTTTTCTTGAGAATTGTAATCATGAATGGAAGTTAAACTTTGGCAAATGTTTTTTCTCTGTTGAAAGGCCCTTTTTTTTTCAGTAATATGGTATATTACACTGATTTATTTTCGTATGTTGAACCATTCTTGTACTCCAGGGATAAATCTCACTTGGTCATGGTGTATAATTGTTTTAATTTGTTATTATATTTACTTTGCTAGTATTTTATTTATGATTTTTGCATTGACATTCACTAGGGATTTTGGCCTATAGTTTTCTTTACTTGTAGTGTCTTTGTATAGTTTCAGTATCAAGTTGATGCTGGCCTCATAAAATGAGTTTGGAAGCGTTCCTACTTGTATTTTTTGCAAGAGTTTAAGAGAGTTGGTAGTAATTCATCTTTGAATGTTTGGTTGAATTCAACCATGAAACCACCTGGTCCTGGGCTTTTCTTTGTTGGGAGGTTTTTCATTACTAATCTAATCTTGTTTTTCTATTGGTGTGTTTAGCCTTTCTATTTCATCTTGATTCAGTTTTGGTAGCTTGTAAATTTCTAGGAATTTATTCATTCTAGGTTATCCAATTTGTTGGTATATAATTGGTCATAATAGTTTCTTATGTTTCTGAGGCATCTGTTATAATGTTTTCACTTTCATTTCTGATTTTATTTATTTGACTTCTCTCTTTTTTCTTGATTATTGTAGCTAATGGTTTTTCAATTTTGTTTATTTTTTCAAGAAAACAACTCTTGGTTTTGTTGATTTTTAGTTTTTTATTCTTTAATTTATTTCTACTCTTAATATTTATTATTTCCTTCTTTCTGCAAACTTTAGGATTATTCTTTTTATAGTTCCTTGAGGTATAAAGTTAAGCTGTTTTTTTTTTCCAGTTATTTCTCCGCGTAATGTGAGTATTTATTGTTATAAACTTTTCTCTTATTACTGCTTTTTGCTGCATCCCAGAAGTTTTTGTAAAGCGTATATATAGGTTGGTTGGTTTGTGAGCACTGAGAAAGATATGTAAAGATACACAATAAGTCATTAATCTTGGCTGTTAATCTTGACAGTTCAAATTGGAGGCAGTAGTGTTGGGAAGCAATCTATTAACTTTTACATTATGCATCTCTGAATGTTTGGGTTATTAAAAACAGCACTGTTATTTTCATATTTTAAAAAACATAATTCCTAATGATATTGTAAAAATTAAATGGATGATGGGGCTATCTTTTTTAACTTCCAAACTCTTCATACAAATGAGAAGATTAAAGCTATTTTGGACACTTTATGTAGAGTAGGTTCACATAGATAAAAAATATGTTATCCCAGATGACTACTGAGAAACAATTTTCAGCCAGTGCTCACCAAATATCTTCAAAAGCAAGAATGGAATGAAAATCAGGAAATCAAAGATGAGGTTACTTATTTCAAAATGCCCAATTATCACAGACTTTGTATATTCTAACACGTGAACACTTCCTCTATTGTACTGCAAGCTCCATTAAGGCTGAATTATTTGTCTTTTTTGCTACTGTATCCCCAATGCAAAACTTAGTTCCTGATATATAGAAGACCGTCAATAAATTATTAGTAAATGAATTAATAAATGCTTATTTTAAGATTGATATTTAACTGCCCATTTAAAAAATAGCAGTTAAAGGGTTATTTCATTAATTGCTCTGTACAGAACACCTTATCATTACCTCTGTTCAGCCTGTGATCATGTGGCACTGTTGTTATTTTTAGTAGATCTGTCTCCTCAGTAGGACTGTGAATTACTCAGGGACAAAATCTGATTTCTATTCATTTTTTTCTTTATCTCAGATAGCAACAAATTTAGTAAATTCTATTTCAGTAAATACAGTAATTTAAAATGTTTTATTTTTTCAGATTATTCTTTCTAATAGCATGACTCCAACAATAATTTTACTTCACAAAAACAAAGTTCATTGATTCTACTGTTCACTATTCCTTTGATATCACTTTGATCCCATGCCCATCTTCAATTTTGTGGTACATCCTTATTATCACTTCACTTATTCTCTTGCATACGCCTTCAACTTATTTGTCCTACTTTTCTTTGAAATTCTCATATACTCTCTCTACATTTTCTCTATGGGATCCATTTAATTCATAAGACTTTAAATTCCATGTGTATGCTAATGACTCAAATACTGATATATCTTGTCTGAATTTTCCCTGAAATTCAAACTCATATATCCAACTGCTCACACTCCATCTCCACTTGGATGGCCATGATAATCTCAAACATAACATGTCCAATACTAAAATTATTCTCTATCTTCACCCCACATCCACTCCTCTAACAGTTTTCCCCATCTTAGTAAATAGCAATTTAGACCCTCTAGTTACTCAGTTGAATCACGACTTCTTTCTTTCTCTCATGCCTAATTTCTGATTCATTGGCCAGTCTGGTTGGAGCTGAAGTCAAGACATACCCATTATCTAAACTCTTCTCCTTGTTTATATTCTATAATCCTGATCCAAGCCACTACTACGTCTCACCTAACAACATGTAAGCTCCCCCTTTTGCTACATCCCACCTCCCTACATGCTAATTCTTAATATAGCATTGGAGAAAATTGGTTAAAGCTCAAGTTAAATCGTGCCACGCCTCTTCTCAAACCCTGCAGTAGTCTCCCATTTCATGTAGTTAATATGGCTACTTGCTACCTCTTTGACATTACTTTATACTTACACTTCTTTCTTCCCTTGCTCCCTCAAATCCAACCATGTTTGGGCTGATTCCACTTGCATAGAAGGAGTAGAAGTTTAACTTAAATGAATCAATGCTGATTTATGTGAGGAGACTAATCAGCCTTCAACATAATTGAAGCCATGCTGGATTTTATCTGAAGAAGGCTTATACCAACAAGACTTCTAGCAGTCATCTCAGAAACTTTTTCTCAGGGGCCACAAAGGTCTTTAAAAATGGGAATTATGTTTCTCAATCTAATAGTATGACAGGATCAATCCAGGAGGCTTGCATATATCTTTTACTGATTTTTTTGTGTGTGAAACGGTTTTATTAAGAAAGTATTTTTTTCTAGAATATAGTTATACATAGCCACTGGAAGTTGATTAATTGAAATTTGGAAATGATAGCTATAATTTTTGAATGTTAATTTTTCAATGTTTTATTTAGGCCAACATTTTCAATCACAAAAGAATTCATCTTGAGATTCAATCAAACACAAAATTCCAAAGAGAAGGAAGAATTGTTGGAACTAGCTAGAAAAATCATTCTCAGATGTAAGGTAATGGCATATCATTGGATTGTTCAGCATGTTAACTTCCTTTTCTAGTTGGTACATGATTACACATTCTAAAATATTGTAAGAAAAAATAGGAATACATCTTTCTTTAATTATAAGTAGGGATAGTTAAAATATTAATGCAAATTAAAGTTAAAGCTTATAACCAAATAATAAAAGCTCCTGTAAATTTTTGTGGAAATATACCAGTCCAGGAGCCCATAGCGAAATGTTAAGTCTGGCAAATAAATTTTTGATTATGAAAATTCTATTTTTTCTTAAAAAGTTAATTGAGATATACTGTGTCTCAAAGGAGAAAAAGGCCTTTCTGAACCTTCATATATATATGCATGAAGTACTCTGTTCTTTCTCTGTAACAAACTATTCTTCACCTGAATTGTGAAAAATATATTCTTTAAGAATATGACATTAATCCCCAAATTTCCAAATAGATATCAAAATAGAACAGGAAGTAAAGTAAGTCCTTGCTTTTCCTTTTCTACAGTGGATTCAGTTTAAATTTTACAGAGAAATAACACACGTATTTTGCTTTGATATGAATAATTCATTCAATAAAAGCTGCACAAAACTGGTGCATAAATTAAGCCACCTTTTTTGTGGTGTTGTAGTGGTTGTTATTTTCCAGTTCATGGCTGCCCATATATTTGAACATTTTGAAAAAAATTGGATTGGAAAAAGAGTATACTTTTGATACGTGTATATGCAGACAGGTGCCAGGAGGTGCATTCATCAGTGAACTTTTCTCCAATTGAACGAGTGTTCTCTGCAACAGTCCCAGGAGTGGGCACAATAAGGGAAGTGGAGCAATCCTGATCATCTCCCTCGTGTTCATTAACTTCTGCATATCAACAATGAAGTAACCAGGGTTTTCCAGCAAACTGGCATCAAACTCGCTTCTGTTTTATCACATTTCTTCAGTGTTTTTCCTCATAAAATAAAAAAAAATGCATTCTCTTGGGGAAAAATTAGAAGTAATCACTAGACAGTAAAAAATGAGAATTATTTTCAGCAAATAGCTAATGGTATTACTTATAGTATCAACATTTTTTACATCTTAGCACTAATACAGTTTGCATAAAATCTCCAAAAATTTGAGTAATAAAAGCAAAAATATAAAATTGTATACAACTCTGGCCACCGAGCATTAACTTCATAGAATGACTTTTGGAACACAAGTAAGAGTTAAAAATTAATAAATATATAAAAGATGTACATTTTGATTTGTCTTTTTCATGCTTCCTCATAATAGAGAAAATTGGGTCTCAAAACCCTGGGCTCTGGGAAGCATGTGCATCTTCCTGCTGCATGGATTGAAGTAATATATCTGGCTCAATGCAAAGGGGAAATCCAAGATGGTATGTACTTTAAATTCTTATTAGGTATCCTAAGCATTTTCTAGATTATCAGTGAAGGCATAATTTGAGAACTTTAATTTTTAAAAATTGTGCAGAAGACAAGAAATTCTTCTACTCTATCGAAATACATTTTATTTTGAAAATTCATTTTGTAATTTAGAATTTATGATTTTAACTACTTAGCTTTTTAGTGATAAAATTATTTTCAAAACTTTACTCAGCATAGTCTTTATTACTTTTTTGCTAAAATTAGCAACTAATTAAAAACTAATATAAAATATCATTTAGTGATTTCCAATTACAATAGGCACTAGACTTTAGAGAAATTTGCTTCTTCATTTTATAATTATTACTTATAAAACATTAATCAAATGACCATTTGTTTTCCACTTATTTTAAATAGCAAGCTTTACTCATTACCTTTTCATTTATCACTCCTCGTTTATGCCTACTTTAAAACATCCTCTAACTAATCTAAAAAAAAATTAACGTTATTTCTAAGGGGGTAAAATTCCTTCCATCACTATTGTTAAATTGTGTATATATGCCTTTTAAAATAGTTTTAGAATGTTAACCACATGAGTTCAGAGAGAATTTCCCCCATGTAAATTAGGTTTTGTAGTGCTATCTAGGAGTTTTCAAGCAGCAGGAAGAATTATTTTGTATTTAACTTGCCTTTATGGTCCTTCATCACAGTGCCATCCACAGCCTGACCTCTATTAATAATTTAAATGATATTGAGGTAAACACTTTTGGTTTACCAGCAAGAAGAGGCTGTTTGCTCTTCATTGACAATTAAATTTCAGTTTTAATTAGTCATGTGATTTAGAAGAGGACTGGCCCTTGCCCAACCCGACGGGGGTGAATCATGGATAGTCTAAATCAGAGGTCCCAAAACCCTGGACCATGAACTGGTACCAGTCTGTGGTCTGTTAGGAACTGGGCCGCACAACAGGCTATGAGCAGCCAGTGAGAGCGAGCATTACTGAGCTCCACCTTCTGTCAGATCAGCAGTGACATTGGATCCTCATAGGAGTGTGAAGTCTATGGTGAACTGCACACGTGAGGGATCTAGGCTGCGTGCTCCTTATGAGACAAAGCCAGTCCCTGGTGCCAAAATGGTTGGGAACTGCTGGTCTAAATCAATTATGGTAATTCCTTTTCACTTGCCAGTGATTTGATTAGGGTTAGTCACATGACCTGATCCTCAGCAAAGTGATGTAATGACAGCTCTATTTCCTGTACTTTTTGTTGACTTGCTTTCGAAAAAGACATGCCTGGGAAAAAAGCATTCCTTTCCTCCCTATACTCTTGTTTGTTCCTGTCTAGTTTGCTTGGTAAGAACATGATGCCTGGAGTTTGTGCAGTCATCACAGTTCTCATGCACATGAGGGGGAACTAGAAGATGAAAGAAATGTGCATCTAAAGGGCAGCTATCTTAGCTGTCCCTGGAACCTTTCCAATTTCTAATCTTGTGAAATAATAAACCTCCTTATTTTGAAGACGTTTTTGTTATATTTTCTGTTACATGCAGCAAAAGCATTTCAATACACTCACATATTGAACTCTAAATAATACTCTCAGTATGACTTCTTACTCTCTTCACAACTAAAATAACTGAATGGGTGTTTTACCTGTACTTTTGTCTGCTCCTCATTCTATAGTCCACCCTCCACTCAACAGCTTGTGATTACACTCAAATGAGCCCCAACTCCATATCATGGCCTACAGGACTCTGCATGTGCTGGCTCCTGGCTACCTCCCTACTTACTCATTATGTTCAGCCCTACTGACCTCCTTCCTGTCCCCTGAGCATGTCAGGGTTCTTCTTTCCTCAAGTCCCTGTATTTGCTGTTTGTCCTCATATATTTACATGGAAGCTCTTCAAAACTTTTGTATGATTTGACAAGCTGTTTTCTCTAGGCTCTTGTCTCTATATTCTTCCTCCTTCAGCTTCACAGGGTGGCCCTGTTTCCTCTACTTTGATTCTCTAGTCTTCTGCTCTTCCCTTTTTATCTTGAGCACTGCCTTTTATCATCTGGTTCTGTCCTATTTCTCCACCACTATGTGTGTGACCTGATGATTTATTTAGTGTTGGGCCTGTATAGTGTTGGATCTATAATAACTGAGCCCCCTTGGACATTTCTTCTTCCTCTAGCCTCTCGACCTTGGTGGTTTCTGTTTCAGTTGCTTCATGCCATGAGGTTGAACTTCCTATATGGCAACTTAGGGTTCCAAAGCTAGTATCTTGAGAGAGTGAGAGAGATCCAGGTGGAAGCAGTGGTGCCTTTTCTGATTCAGTCTTAGAAGTCACATAGTATCATTTCTGCCACATTTCATTCTATTGGTTGAAACTGTCACAGGGTCTGCTCAAGTTTAAGGAGAAGGGCTTATAGACATCACCTCTTGATGAAAAAGGTGTCAAAGAATTTGTAAATACATTTTAAAACTGCCGTTTGGTCTTAATGGTAGGAAATAATTTTAAAAAGTAATTATAGCATGTAGAAAAACAGGACGATTTTCAAATGATGCAGTTTCTATATTTTTAATATTTCAGAAGCTTTAAATATGCTTTATGCATCTCTGGACCATGCTTCCTTTGATTATGATCATCTGCCTGCCTTATTTTTTGTTGCGGAATCGATTTTATACAGACTCTGTTGTGATGCATCCCTCAAAACGTATTTATATTCAGTGGAAATAAAGCTAGTAAAGGTATGTTTTGAAAAACTTCTTAATGTTCTTAAATATTTCATATACTACATGTAACAACATGACATCTGTTTTAGGATCAAAACAGAACATTTAGTTTTATAATAGAATATTCTTTTGTTTGGTAGTTTAATCTTCTCTAATTGTGAGTAGTACATTATTATTGCTTACTATCTAAATGGAGATAGTAGTTTGAGAAAATATAATTTCACAAAGTACATAAGAAAATAACATTTCATTAAAAAACAATATACTTAACTGTTTTTCTAAGTGTATATATATATAGTTTTTTATTTTCTATTTTAAAGGCTTTTAAATGCCACCTCCTGTACCATTTAAAAATGCTAACAAATAACCCTAAATAACTGCCCAATTTGGGAAGCTTAGTTATTCTTCTAATATTCTATGTAACTTTAGATCTATAAAATGAAAGACTCTTTTCAGGTAACTCATATTTTATAAGATCCTTGAGATCATATTGTTTCACTCTCGGTGATGATCATGGTTGACTGCTGTAAAATACATTGTTAGTCAAATAAATATAGTTTAACTAATGGTTTTACTGCAAAGAGAGAAAAGAAAGGCTAAAAGTATTTCTTTAAGATGGTTTTTTATATATATATGTATACACACATATTTATATGTATGAATGAAACAAATTAAATCAATGATGCAGAAATTGTTTTTTTTAATTAAATTTTGATTATAAACTGTTAGAAATTGAACATGAGAGAACATTGATGAGTCAGTCAATCAGTTGAACATTTTGGGGAGACAACCACATTTCATTCATGTAAGTCAAGCTTAGATGCTCTCTGACACATTTGGTAGTAAAAGACTTGTGGAGACCAGGCAAAAGTAGATACAGAGAACACATAATAGAAATTAACTATGCAAAAAACTGAGCTTTGCATAGAAGGAGGATTGAAGAAAATAGTCAAGATATTACCAATAACTGTCCTGGGATGGTGCGAGTATGATGATTTTTTTTCTTTTTTCTGTATTTCCAAAACTGTCCACTAAAAATACGTATTTATATTTATAATGAAAACAATATATATGTAAACATAAAATATATAAAATATAAAATATAAATATACATATTTCTAATGAAAAAAGAAATGTAATAAAATTTTTTAAGTGGAATAAAAAAACATGGAGCAAGTCTGGCTTTTATCTCCTCTTTCTCATCTCCTTCAGTGACTTTTCTCCATTTCTTGCCTTTTGTATTTCTGCTAGCAAGAAAAAAATAGCTACAAAATATAGTTTTATGCATTGAGCATATTGCTTATACTTTGCACATGCCCTGTTATCTGCCAAGCCAATTTGTACCAGTTCTGATAGCAGCTGCAAACACTTAAACCTTACTTAACTATGTGCCTTACACAATGATAAGTGCTTTAAATATATTAGACACATTAACTTATTTTATTCTCACAACTATCCTAAGAGGATTATTCATAATTTCATATTCCACATTCATCACTGTGGCACAGAGAGTTTTAAGTGACTTCCCCAAAGTCTAAGCAGAGAGAGTTTTGATATTCAGTGTGGTTCCGGAGTCCAGTGAACTCTCAGCTATGATGCTACACATCTACCTTGGTTCTCAGATTTACTAATTTTTACCTTATTCTTTCTTCTATTGATATATAAATAACATTTTAAATATTTATGAAGTACATGTTAGTGTCTGTTACATGACTAGCATGTATAATGATCAAGTCAGGATATTTAGGCTATCCGTCACTTTGAGTATTTATTTATTTATTTTGAAATTTATTTATTATTATTATACTTTAAGTTGTAGGGTACATGTGCATAACGTGCAGGTTTGTTACATATGTATACTTGTGCCATGTTGGTGTGCTGCACCCATCAACTCGTCATTTACATCAGGTATAACTCCCAATGCAATCCCTCCCCCCTCCCCCCTCCCCATGATAGGCCCCGGTGTGTGATGTTCCCCTTCCTGAGTCCAAGTGATCTCATTGTTCAGTTCCCACCTATGAGTGAGAACATGCGGTGTTTGGTTTTCTGTTCTTGTGATAGTTTGCTAAGAATGATGGTTTCCAGCTGCATCCATGTCCCTACAAAGGACACAAACTCATCCATTTTTATGGCTGCATAGTATTCCATGGTGTATATGTGCTACATTTTCTTAATCCAATCTGTCACTGATGGACATTTGGGTTGATTCCAAGTCTTTGCTATTGTGAATAGTGCTGCAATAAACATCTGTGTGCATGTGTCTTTATAGCAGCATGATTTATAATCCTTTGGGTATATCCCCAGTAATGGGATGGCTGGGTCATATGGTACATCTAGTTCTAGATCCTTGAGGAATCACCATACTGTTTTCCATAATGGTTGAACTAGTTTACAATCCCACCAACAGTGTAAAAGTGTTCCTATTTCTCCACATCCTCTCCAACACCTGTTGTTTCCTGACTTTTTAATGATCGCCATTCTAACTGGTGTGAGATGGTATCTCATTGTGGTTTTAATTTGCATTTCTCTGATGGCCAGTGATGATGAGCATTTTTTCATGTGTTTGTTGGCTGTATGAATGTCTTCTTTTGAGAAATGTCTGTTCATATCCTTTGCCCACTTTTTGATGGGGTTGTTTGTTTTTTTCTTGTAAATTTGTTTGAGTTCTTTGTAGGTTCTGGATATTAGCCCTTTGTCAGATGAGTAGATTGCAAAAATTTTCTCCCATTCTGTAGGTTGCCTGTTCACTCTGATGGTAGTTTCTTTTGCTGTGCAGAAGCTCTTTAGTTTAAAGAGTATTTATTATTTCTATGTATTTGCATCATTTCAAATCCTCTCTTCTAGTTACTTTGAAATATGCAAGGCATTGTTGGTAAGTATAGTCACCCTATTCTGCTATAAAACATTCTTTCTAATGCTATATTTGTACCCATTAACCAACTTCTCTTTATTTTCCCCTCCTATTTACCCACCCTTTTTGGTCTCTAATATCTATAATATTATTCTATTATCTTTGGCAATGAGATCAAGTCTTTTAGCTTCCACATGTGAGTGAGAACATGTGATATTTATATTTCTGTGCCTAGCTTATTTCACTTAACATAATGACTCCCAGTTACATTCATAGTGCTGCAAATGATATTTCATTATTTTATGGCCAAATTGTATTGCATTGTGTATATACACCACATTTTCTTTATCGAATCACCCATTATGGATACTTAGGTTAATCATATCTTTACTATTGTGAAGAGTGCTCCAGTAAACGTGAGAGTGCAGGTATTCCTATAATACACTGATTTTCTTTATCTTCCTAAAAGATAAATGCCCACTAGTGGAATTGCTGGATAGTATGGTAGTTCTGTTTTTAGTTTCTTAGAAAATCTAAACACTGTTTTCCTTAGTGGCTGTAATAATTTACATTGCCACCAATAGCATATGAGTTTTCTTTTCTCTGTATCCTCGCCATCATGTGTATTTTTTTTGTCTTTTTAATAACAGCCATTCTAATTGGAGTGAAATGATATTTAATTGTGGCATATGGTCTTTATTATTTTGAGGCATATTCCTTCTATGCATAGTTTAGAGACTTTTTATCATGAAGGGATGTTGAATTTTTTCAAATGCTTTTTCTGCATCTGAGATGATCATATGGTTTTTGTCCTTCATTCTGTTGTGATGTATCATGTTTATTGATTTGTGTATGTTGAATCATTCTTGAATCCCTGGTATAAATCCAACTTGAACATGTTGTATAATCTTTTTGATGTGCTATTGGATTCAGTTTGCTAGTATTTGGTTGAGGTTTTTTGAGTCTATGTGCATTAGAGATATTAGCCTATAGTTTTCTTTCTTTGTTGCACGTTTTCTGGTTTTGGTATTAGGGTAACACTGGCCTTGGGAAATGTGATAGGGAGATTTCCCTTGTCCTTAACTTTTGGGAATTATTTGAGAAGGGTTGGTATTAGTTTTTCCTTATCTATTTGGTAGAATTCAGTAGCAAATCCATCTAGTACTGCACTTTTCTTTTTGGGGGGAATCTTTTCGTTAATGATTCAGTCTTGCTACTCATTGGTATGTTCAGGTTCTGTATTTCTTCCTGAGTCAATCTTGGTAGGTCGTATGTTTTCAGGAATTTATCCATTTCCTCTAGTTTTCCAGTTTGTTAGTGTATAGTTGTTTACAATAGTTTCTGATGATCTTTTGTACTTCTGTGGTATTAGTTTTAATATCTCCTTTTTCACTTTTGATTATGTTTGAGTGGGCCTTCTCTCTTCTTTCCTTGGTTAGTTTAGCTAGCAGTTGATCAATTTTATCTTTAAAAAAAGTTTTCATTTTGTTGATCTTTTGTGTTCTTTTTTAGTCTCCATTTCATTTATTTCTTCTTTGATCTTTATTATTTATCACCTTCTGCGAATTTTGAGTTTGGTTTGTTCTTGCTTTACTAGTTCCTTGAAGTGCATCATTAGATTATTTGAAATCTTTCTGTTTCTTTGATGCAGGAATTTATTGCTATAAAAACCCTTCTTAACACTGCTTTTGCTCTGTCCCTCAGGTTTCAGTATATTGTGCTTTCATTTTCATTTGTTTCAAAACATTTTTTTAAATTTCCATTTTAATTTCTTCATTGACCCAGTGGTTGTTCAGAAACATGTTGTTTAATTTCCATGTATTTTTATAGTTTTCAAAGTTCCTCTTGGTATTGATTTCCAGTTGTATTTCATTGTAGTCTGAGAAGATACTTGGTATGATTTTGATTTTAAAAATTTGTTGACTTATTTTTTGCCTAGCATATGATCTAACCTGGAGAATATTCCATGTACTAACGAGAAGAATGTACATTCTGTTGTTGTGTTGGGAAAAATATTATGTGAATATCTTTAAAGTCCGTTTGGTCTAAAGTCCAAGTTAAATACAATGTCTCTTTGTTGATATTATATCTAAATATGTCTCATGCTAACGGACGAGTGTTGAAGTTCTCCACTATTAATGTATTGGAGTCTATGTTTCTCTAT